GTCTGGCTAAAGCAAAAAAAAAACTTTGAAAAGCACTGTTTTATTGGCTCATGTTGGCAATCAAATGAAAACACGTCAATGTCCAGCACCTCAGTACATGTGTGGATTTCAATCATATAGTTCAAATAATTTCAATTCTCCTGATTTCAATTATCCCCGTCCTTTCGTAAAGGTCTCCAGAATCCTATCAAATTGGGATTATTGCACTTTCTGGGTGTGAATCCCATTAACAACTGATGTTTAATCGGAAGATTATGTGATGGCAGCTCTCCTCTTTTCGATAATTCCGTTGGATGGATCATCTCTTCTAGTCTTTTAACTAGGCTTATTTGAGATCATTCTCAATGTTCCAACAACGATTAACACTATGTAACCATTATGATTCTTAGTTTCCGGCGAATTCCAGAGATTTATCTAAGTTTCATCTTTCTTTCAATTTCATAATTTTTATTTTTGTCGTTTTATCAGTTATTATTCTTATTATTACTATTATTATTATTATTATTATTATTATTATTATTATTATTTTTGATTTCTGGTGTATATTCATTTCTTTCAGGGTCCCAACCAGTGACCTAAGGTCAGGAATGCCATCATGGCATTTCCCACTGATTATTTTTAAGGAAAAAAGCTGTTAAGATTACACATATTTTACATAGATAAAGCCCTTCGTAAGATGTGGATTGTACTTTTGAGTGCAATATTTTGCATTTTTTTTTTAACGCATGGGCTACCAGGAATCACTTTCCAATTAATCCGATGGCTCCAACTATAACGGGAGTTGTTGATCTCCTCATGTGCCACATTTCGGAGATTTCGATTCCAAGGTCCTTGTACTTGTACTTGTTTTTCTGAAAACCTTCAAAGATATATTATAGTCTGCAGGGACTGCCATGTCAATAAGAAGGCACATTTTGTCTTTACACTCTCTGATCTGATGTTTGGGCGATTAGATTTGATTGTTCTGTTTATGTGTATTATAAAATCAACATAAAATTGTTACAATGCCTATCTCCGTAACCGAGTCTGGGTGGTGTTCATGTCAATTTCTTGCCGTTTCCTTTCTTTTAAAAGTTGCAGACTCTCCAATGTAGATTTGGACCCACTTTGCCACGCCGTGTTTTATATTCAGTGGGTGCCAATACCGTGTAACATAGTCAATTGTTTCTGCATATTGATCACAGAACCTGCATTTTGGGCTAACACAATATTTTAGTATGTGTGCTTGATAATTTCTAATTAAAAAACACTAATCTTGTGCAGAAATGATAAAACCTTCAGTTTCAGCTTTTAACCCTGCACTACATAGCCACTGCTGGGTACGGAGTTTGTCGACATCAGCTTGTTTGGTACGGGCAGAGTATTGACCATGAAGAGGCTTATCTTTCCACCGTTTCTGTACCTGGTACATTTGCTTTTGCTTTCTTTTTTAAGGTTTTTGCAGTTGCACTAAGGGTATTATGTTTTACTTGCATTTCTTCGACCACTTGAAATTTCATTTTGAACTTGTTGGCGTCGTTTAGTACTGAATAAAGTTTCTTACTTCTTTCATGTTCTTCGACGCAGCTCATCACCCAGTCTTCTGTAGTTTCCAGGTATCTTTGAAGGCCGATTGTTGTCGTTTGCTAAGACAGTTCTAGCTGAACTAATCCTCTGCCTCCTTCGGATCTGAGCACATATACACGATCAACATCAGCCTTGGGATAGCAAGTGAGACGCTTTCTCAGTTTGGCGTCCATTCGCTTATTGTCAGCTATGGTCCAGTTAAGGATGTTGAAACTGTATTTCACGAGGGGGGGGCAGCCAGGGTGCTTATGGCTGATATTCTGTCATTTTTTATTATTCAATTCGGTATTCAATACCAAAACGAACACGCCTGTAGTATTCGTTTCTTATTTCTCCTTCATATAGGTATTATTATTATTATTTTTATTTTCTTTGATTTCTGGCGTTTACACATTTCTTTCCGGGTCCCGCCCAGGGTCCTAAGGTTAGAAATGGCGTCATGACACTTTCCACTGACAAAAAAAAAAAAAAAAAAAAAAGAATTACATAGATAAAGCTCTTCGTAAAGTGTGGGCTGTACTTGTCAGAACAATTTTTGTATCTCCTTGAGGCATGGACTTCCAGGAATCCCTTCAATTAGTCTACTGCAATCTTTTCCAACCAGTCCTAGGGCTCCAACTACAACAGGGATTGTTGATGTTCCCATATGCCACATTTTCGAGATTTCTATTTCAAGGTCCTTGTACTTTGACAACTTTTTGAATATCTTCAAAGATACATTGCAGTCAGCAGGGACTGCCATATCAATAAGGAGGCATCGTTTTTTGTTTGTGGTCTTTAATAACAATATCTGGCCGGTTGGCCTTGATTGTTCTGTCAGTGTGTATTGTGTAGTCACATAGAATTGTAACAGGTCCTATCTCCGTAACCGGGTCTGGGTGGTGTTCATACCAGTTTCTTTCAGTTTCCTTCCCGTAGAAGTTGCAGATTTTCCAGTGCAGATATTGACGTCAGCTTGTTTTATTATTATTATTATTATTATTGACGATTTCATTAATGTTATTTAAGTTTGCTCCTCTTGTTATTAAAATTTCCAATTTTTCAAATCACTTTGCAAGAAGTTTTGGGTTCGATTACAGTTATTATTATTATTATTATTTCTTTTGTTATTATTATTGTTGTTGTTACCAAGTTGTGTTGAGTTTTCATACCAGTTATATCCTGTATCTTTCAAGTGACAGCATGTTACCTCAGTATTCTTGATTTTAGTAACTCTGCCGTCCGCTCGAAAGATATTGGACACAACCTCACACTGTATGCCACCTGCGTTATCACCACTAGGATTTATTAAACGAATACGCGTAAAAAGATTTACTTGGAAAAAAAAACGGAACTCAATCTGTATATGCGTTGTAAAAGGGATTGTCAGTAGTCAAGAATTAAGATAAAGAATACTAACAGAATGATGGCCTTGATCCTAATCAACAGCCCCATGACCAGGTGTGGTCGGAGGGTCACTGCACATCTGGGCACCTGACCAGCTACCTCCATATATCTCAGTTGAGTGCCAATGTCTGAATTTCTATGAAGGATCTACTAATCCATTTAGTGACACTGTCTAACATTTTTTCTATATTCTTTTTTTTTTCCTAAGTTAGTAACGTGTAGGATGGTAGTGGAAAGGTTCTTATGACGTGGCTATAGTATTTAACCTTTTCTGGACAGTGGATATAAGGTCTTCAAATGAGCCTGTTTCTTGTATGTTGGTGTTTCACACCGCATCCTTTGGGATGCAGTCTACATAGAAGATGCGTGGGAGGGTTCTCGAGCGTCTCAATTCTGATGATACTTGGATAATTTCTTCGATGTTTGGATTTTTTCCGCTTCTTACTGACCTAATAGGACTATTATATGGCTTATAGGTGTACTCGTTGAACTTTCCCATCACGTGTCTCTAGTTGGACTCACTGGAAACCAAGTGTCAGCAACTTTCCTCACCATCAATAAAGATATGCCACTATTTCTTTCTGATTCACGCTTCTGATTTAACTCTGTGTTAGTCACATGGAGTGTTTTGTTACCTCAAATGTTTTTAAGCGCTCCCCCTACTACCCTCCTCACTCGGTGAGGGTGTGTAGCACGTGGTGAGGCACAGTTGTAGCTCTGTTGGCATGGGAAGCAGTTAACCATTTTCGGAAATCTGAGGTGACTAAGGTTAACTAATATAGAATATCGGGAAAAATATTAAAATAGAAGACAAACTCATAAAAAATTATTAATGAAAATGTAAAATAAGAAAAGAGAATTACATACTCCTTGTACAAATTAATTGAAACAAACCGAATAATTCTGTTATTTTTTCGTATTTTCCCAAAGAAATATGACCCTGTGCACATGTTAGTTATTCGTATGCTCATTCAATTCCTTCGTATGCAGATTGACAACATATTCTCACCGGTAATGCTTGCCAATGCATTCGTGCAGTGTTACAATTTTCGTACACTTCATTGGGGTAACGTCCATCCCAGTCAATGGCCGTAAGACAACTAATCGACAGTCGGGACAATAGCGTCTGGGTGTGGTAAAAATCTGATGCAATCACGGATTACGCAATATTTTTCAAGGACAAACAAATTTCATCATACACCCCGAAAATAGATTCATATTACAGCACAAATGTCTTATTGAAATCGATTACACCCTGTCACTCCAGTGAGTTTAAAATTGACCGCATGGGGAAAGAAAGGAAAACTAAAGCGGTTGTTTCAATTAATTTGCACAAGGTCGTACATCAACCGCCTTTCTTAGTCTCACAGAGATATGGCTAGCGAGGAATGCTGATAATACCAGAGACAGAACATGCAAAGAGGACATTTTAAGAAAAACAGAAGCCGTGGAGAATATATCACTCAAAAAATATATTAAATGCAAAGTTGGCTCTCTGTGCCGCACCTGGAAAATTTTCTCCCCAGAATCGATATGGTCTGGTTCACCTTCTGTTTACATCGGAGTTCTTGACAAGATCCAGAGACGGATATGTAATATAATTGGCCCTGATCTGGCACCTCGTCTACAGTCGCTCTCTCACAGACGCGCCGTCGCCTCTCTCTGTCTTTTTTACAAATACTTTCATGGTAATTGCTTCGATGAGCTGCTTTCACTGGTTCCCAGACTTCATGAATTCAAGCGCCCTATTTTGACTGGCATCCCGCTCTCACCCTTACACTGTAGAAACTTTTAAAATGTAATCCATCTCTTCTACTCCAATAGCTTCATACCTCGCACCTCTCGCCTGTGGAACACCCTTCCCTATTACTGTTTCCCTGAGAGCTATAATCTCCAACTATTCAAATGTAATGTCAATCGACATCAGTTACCTTGATCTATCCACTATCCCTCTCCTCATCCTTTCTTCTATCACTCCTATCTGCTCTGGCACCAAATCTTCAGCAACCCCCTGCATCCTAGTGGCTTCACGCCTTGCTCGGGGCGCAATGCTTAAAAACAATCTATCTATCTATCTATCTATCTATCTATCTATCTATCTCAGTCTATTAATAACTATGTATCTATCTATTTATCAGTCTATCTATTTCTGTTCATATCTATCCATCTACATCAGTCTTCTGATAACTATCTATTTATTGGTTTATCTCTGTTCATATCTAAGTTTGTTCATATATATCTCTCACAGTCTGTTTGTAACTATCTAGCTAGCTAGCTAGCTAGCTAGCTATCTATGTCTGTTGAAAACTATGTATCTATTTATTGGTCTATATGTCCCTGTTCATATCTATCTAACTGTCTATCTATCTATCTATCCATCTATCTATTTATTTTAAAAAAAGAGAGAGAGAGAGAAGCACGAGAAACAGGGAGTATTAAATTTAACGAGTTTGTGCGAATGAATGACTGGACAGATCAGAAAAAGAAATGATAAAATGTCAACATTTTCAGGGTGAGAAGTTATCATTATTTACATGCGCACTATTGTCTTACATCTTGGTTGTTATCAAAACGTTTCAGCCTTTGCCTCTAGCCTTCATCAGGTGTATGTCGACCTGGATAACCTACAGGGGATTCCGAACTGAACCTTTTATTCTTCTTTTTAAATATTTAACTCTGTTATTCTTTTTTTTTTTTCTTGGTTTTGTTTCCGATCTTTTCACTTTGGCCCTCATGTGGCATCTCGGCTTCAGTCACTTGCCCACCGCCGTAAGGTTGCCTCTCTCTGCCTTTTCTATAAATACTTTCATGGTAACTGTTCCGAATAGCTCTTCGCTATGTTACCTAGACTGTATGAATTTAAGAGCACTACTAGACTGACGGCGAGATCGCATCAGTTTACAGTTGAGCTGGCTAGACGTAGCCGTAGCCTATACGAACAGTTTCTTTTCTCGCACTTCTCGCTTGGGGAACTCTCGTCCGGCTCCATACTTTCCAGCCAACTTTAACCTGAAAAAAAAATTAAATGCAATGTCAATCGCTATCTGTTGTCCTCCTGATTAATCTTTTCTTTTTCTTTTCGCATATTATTAATGTTTCTGTTCCTAATTTCTTCTACACCCTGTAACCCCTTGTGTTTTTAGTGGCTTTACTTGCCTTGCATGGTTCTGTAATGTCCGTTTATAGGAGAGACTTTGTAAATCACAGATACAACAATAGTAACGCCTTCGAACAATACTCGCCAATTCCCGTGTATATATTTTTCTATTACCCGTCACTTGAACCGTTATTTCAAAATGAGGTCGACTGTGCTTGCTCTCTGGCGATCCGTGTTCAAACCCAAATGTCGGCAGCGGCACTTTATTCCAATATGACACATATATAAGCTACAGGGGTCGATTTGTCTCGTTCAACGGTGAATGGTTAGGGATACCTCGTCACGTTCTTATTTTGTACTGCTCAGTTATTACTTGCTGGTTTCTCGGGGATTGAACTCACAATTACTATGTCACCAAATTCACGAACCACTAGGCTGTGTGATGAACTCGGGGCCATAAACCTAATCTAGTGCTGCTGCTGCTTGTCATGCTTGACTGAACTCACCGAAGCTTTTCTCCTTGGAGAATCCCGGAGAGCACAACGCACGGAACATTGTGATAACAACAATAAAGATAAGGATAATAAACTGCGTGTAAATAATGTAAATAAAATGTCAAAGGTTATTTAAAGTAACAGAGGATAGAAGGCTATGGAGGACCATGGCACATAAAAGAAGTTGCACAAAGACGTGCGGGTGAATTAAAGGTTAACTTCGGGGGGAATGGAAGTGGCGAACCGTGTTCAAATTACAGTTGAGTCAGTTTATTTTTTTTTTTTTTTTTTAGACAGGACTCTATTTCTCCCTCTCCCCTTTCTAAGGGATAAATAGCAGGCCAGAATTAACTCTCTAGTCTTGTTTGAACACCAGTCTAGGAGAATGAAAACTCTGAATTCAAAGCTGCTGGAAAGGTAATGGAGACTCGTCCACTCTCTTCCCAGTAGCAAACATAGCAATATAAGTTTACAATTATTAAAAGGAAGATGTGAAGAGCTATGATCGTCTGCGTAATACAGTCACATATCACTTAAGGTGTTGGATTAAAACATCAACATTTTCTTCGAAGTTAGTTCTTGTCTGAATCTAGTCATGAAACAAAATTGCCTCAAAATCCAACCAATTCTTCTTCTTCTTCTTCTTCTTCTTCTTCTTCTTCTTTGTTTCCTTTTTACTTCTCTTCTTTCTTGTCTTTCGCCTCTGCTTTTTTCTTATTTCCTTCTTTTTCTTTTTCTTTTCTTTCCTTCCGTCTTCGTCCTCTTGATTCCTTCTTATCGGCTTTCTTTCTTCTTTCTCCTTCTTAGTTTTCTTTTTCTTTTTTTTTCTTTTTCTTTTTTTCCTCATCTTGAGTTTTCTCCTTTCTTTCCTCTTTTCTTTCTTCTTATTCATTTTCTTGCTTTTCTTTTCCTCACATTTAACCAGATTTTGCATCAAAGCCTAATTCGCAATATCTAAAGAGGTTTCTGATGATTATCACAATATTCACTCACACCTGCTCATGAGAAAATGTGACAACCAATTACATCAAAATCTGTTGTCTTCAGACACGTTTGAATGTCGACAACAAATATTCGTTTAAAGCAGCTGAAATCTGAATATTTTAATGTCTGGTGTTCATTTCCTAGAATAGACTTCGTAAAGTTCCTCTGCAACAAAGAAGGTTTCATTCTGATGCTGCTGGAAAATCTGAGAAGAAACATCATTCTAGATCATAAATATTTTCTGCGTAACAAGTGGACATGAACATATCTATTGACCCATTAGATTGCTGGGGTACTTATGCTATGGAATGTCTCTTGATAATAGAATCTATTTGCCAGTACCCATCTCTTCCCCTCGTAACATGGAATTGGTTGTAATACGTTGCATGGCACTATCAATAACGAACATTCTCTGATTTGACCTATTAACCAACACACGAGATAGTGCTGAGGGGTTCCAACCAAAGTGCTATTTATTCGTAGCTAAAGGGAGGAGTGGATTCATGCCTTACCTAAAAGTATTGGTTCGAAGCCGACGCGAACTACCCTTGCTAGAGTTTGAAATTATTCGATTGTTCAATTTTCTGTGTCGTTAACCGTTAGATCAATCGCGACTCCTGCGTAAAAAATGCGAATCCAGCGGTCAGGGTTCGAATTACGTCTGAGGCAGGCAGCATGATCTTACTTCGAGTTAACGTGCTTCGGAAGAAACAGTATTATTTGTCCCAGCATCTGGTGTCACGATAATATATATATATATATATATATATATATATATATATATATATATATATATATATATATATATATATTACTAAATGTAGCTTAGATGTGACACAAGGCTGCAAGTATGGTGCACTCAGTGAGACCGAAATCGGAAATGAGTTGTGATTAATCTAACTATTGAACCACTTTCCAAAACTATATATATATATATATTGTATAATGCCGGTGCATTGCAAAAAAATGTAACTAAAATGTACTGGCATCCTATCATGCATCAATCACATGTGTCTTCGTATTAGCAGGTTTACATCCTCTAGCAGGTCTGGAAGTGTGCCTGAAATAAAGTCTACTGTATATATATATATATATATATATATATATATATATATATATATATGTGTGTGTGTGTGTGTGTGTGTGTGTGTGTGTGTGTGTGTGTGTGTGTGTGTGTGTGTGTGTGTGTGTGAAAATATATAGAAAATAGGAAAGAACTCGTTAGGTAAATAATCCAAAGTTCTTTAGTATTTTTGTTATTATTTTTAAAAATAAATAAATAATTATATATATATATATATATATATATATATATATATATATATATATATTGAATGTGTTAAATGTTTTTAAACAATAGGGCCGATGAAAAGTCCAAATCTCGTCTCACAAATACAAAAGACAAGAAGGTCATGACAAGCATAGAATATCAAAAAGTTCAAAGTCAAAATTTCAAACAGCAAAATAAAATACCAAAATACCATTGTCAAGAAAATCCACGGATTTTATTGAGGAGGACTGTTTTTCTATGGGTCGCAATAATCGAGGAGTATAAAAAAAATAACTACCATATGTGAGGCAGTAATTATCTAGGATTTTTTTTCCTTACACCCAAACCAGGTAAAATGTCCATATAAACATGTGTCCAAAAGGCTATATACCTCAACACAGCAACTCATACCAAATGCTCAAAAAGTCCTCCGTTTGCTTCTACACACGTATACACCCGTCGGATCATTGACTGGCGGACCCTTTCAAATACTCCCACACGGTGTCGAATGGTTTCTCAGGAATTCATGACACAGTGATGAAGCGTCTCTGCATTATTAATGTCTGCTGCATAAATTAATTGTTTTAAGTGACCCAACAGATAAAAATCCAAAGGATTGAGGTCAGGAGAATGTTCAGGCCATGGGACGTGCAGGCCATGGAACGTTCTGGCTATGGAACCGGTCCTTCCCTACCTATCCATCTTTCATGTTAAATGTCAGCCGGTGCATTGCAAAAAATGTAACTAAAATGTGCTGGCGTCCTACCATGCATCAATCACATCTGTCTTCGTATTAGCAGGGTTACATCCTCTAGCAGGTCTGGAAGTGTGCCCGAAGTCTACTTCAAGACATGCTGGGAGAACATGTGGACCTACCAGACAGTCACCCTCAATTCCAACCCGTACATTAATCATAAACTGATGCCGGTGTCTAACCTGTATTGCACCATTGGGACTCCGACCTGCCCACAAATGTTGGTCGTGTAAATTAAACAAACAGACAACCTGTAGAATTGTTCTTCGTGGTCTAGCGTACGGGCGGATCTTGGTCTTCTGAGATCCATAGTTTGTGGTTCCATAGATTCTGTCTCAGCAACGAGACAATAAACAGCAGCCAAGGGTGGATGACTCGGCTGCCCTCAGTCTGGGAACGCAGTCTGATACAGCCGTGCAGCCTCGCGTTCATTAACAATCGCGCGGTCGTAATTAAAATTCACCTCAGCTTGTTCAATGTATGAATATCCTGCCATTGTTAAACAGAACACTCCTCAGTTGACTCGCTACTACACACGTTAAAAGTTGAGGACAGACTCGCCACAAATTTACACGAATGACAAATGTAACTTAGTCTACATGCCAACACGGCACCATGTACCGTAAACTTTCTTTCAACTTAATTACTCAAAAACGAGCATGATTATATCAACTTTTGTCCTTGTTTTTGTGTGAAGAACCCGCCTCAAAAGTTTGTAAAAGTATTTTTGATACACCTGTACACACACACACACAAGCACGTACACACACACACACACACACACACACACACACACACACATACATATATATACACACACACACACACACATATATATATATATATATATATATATATATATATATATATATATATGTGTGTGTGTGTGTGTGTGTCGGTATATATATATATATTTGTATGTGTGTGTGTGTTAAGGTGAGATACATCATAGTACCATAGTAGTGATTAAAAAGCAATAGAGAACTTTGCTTGTAAGACATTGCAGAATGTAGCACAGTCATGGTCGTTATGGAAGTATATGGAAAAGGGTTAGTAGACAATCACTGACTCATGATAAAGATAAATATACACACATATATATATATATATATATATATATATATATATATAGAAACTAGAGTTCCAAAGGTATAACAGACTGCATTTCTCTGGCTGATTTCGCTCCCCCCCCACACACACACACTTGTAGAAATGGACTCACGCACAGCGAACGTAATAGTAAATCGGTAGTGTAGCTATGACAGCTATGGGAGGCGGATAGGTATTCACATTGTTTGAGTTTAGAAGTATTTTTGGCAGCCGAAACATGAGGCAATCTTGATTTTTCACAGACAATGTTAACAATGGTAAAATAGGCATGTATCAATTCCGAACAGACGTCATTGGCGTGTGAAATCTGCTGGCGTCCACAGGTCATGCATGAAGAAGAACGCCGAGAATTGCCAAAGATTGCAAGCACCCAATAAACAGAAACGTTGCATCAAAGCACATTCCGATTCTCCGCTGGTACTGCTTGATTCATCAACCAATGCACAGTATACGATTCGGTTTTGTAATCGCCGACCTAGGAGAGTATAATTATTGACAACACAGCACCGTTTCCTGGGCCTCACTTGTGTTAGAGAACATCGCAAGTGGACCGTGGAAAACTGGTACCATGTCGCCTGGTCAGGCAAGTCACGTTTGCAGCACTCGAACATGCGGCAGAGATCGTGTGTGAAAGAGAATGCATGTGGCTTTGGATCCAAATTATCATCGTGCTGAGGTGCAAGTTGTTGACGGTCGTATAATGGTGTGCAGTCTGTTATGTTTGAGTACGTAATGATCGCTAGTAAAAACAGAGTCCGTCTTAACAGGTGTATTATACACAGATTTTCTTGCAGATCATTTACTCTCTTCGATGGCTTATTCCAAATATGTTACCTACATTGTGATAGGGCTATACGAAAGGGGTTCCAAGAACATTCCGTTTCCTCCTTGTTTGCATCCTCTCTAAAACCTTATCGTTGCTCACACGATAATCCATATCTTCAGCATCCTTCTGCAGGACCACATCTCCGTCGCCTCGAGTCTCTTTTTCATCTTTGAGGAGACCGTCCAACATCTGCTGCCGTAAAGGAAGACAGATGTCACATAACAACTCAGTATTCAGAGTCTGCCTATATTTCTGAGATGAGGTATATGTACATTATTTACATTATTCGTACTATTGTCCTCATCTTTGTCGCCATATTTATCACAACGTTTCGGCCGTTGTACGCTCCGGCCTTCTTCAGGTGGTTGGAATTTCGAACTGAACCCTTTATTTCGCTCACTGGGGTAGACTGAGCCGACCAAACATAGAAATAAATACAATATGGAACCAGTAAAAAGGAGTGCCAGAGAAAAGCAATGATAACAAAGTTGCAATATGAGCTCTGGTAAAAACATGCAAGGATAACAGCAAAATTGCAATATGAGCACTGGTAAAAATGGTTGCTGAAGACATTAGGTTTATAATATCCAGAAATTCATACCCAGAAGTCCTCAAAGTCACATGGCACAGTAGATAAAGACGTTGGTTAGATCCAGTGACAGGACACAAAGAGTGTGAGTTCAATACCCGGTTAAGGCAGTGGAGAAGAGGGGAAATTAGCAGGAGATAACAGTCTACCCCAGTAAGCGCAATAAAGGGTTCAGTTTGAAATTCCAACCACCTGAAGAAGGCCCGAGCGTAAAACGGCCGAAACGTTGTGATAAATATGACGACAAAGATGAGGACAATAGTCCGAATAATGAACTCAGCATTCTTTTCTTTGTTACCAAAGAAACCCTCCTGTCTCACAATACTCTGCCCAGCTTTTGAAATGCATCCTTGGCCATCCCAATACGTCTACGGATCTCAATGTCGCATTTACCGTCCTCTGTCAGAACGCTTTTCAGATATTTAAACTTCTGCGTCTGCTTGATTCTAGTGCACCCGACCTGCAAATCGCATTTCGGGCTCACCTTTTTACTGATGACCATGCATTCTGTCTTCTTGTATTTTATGCTTAGTCCCTTCTTCACACTCTCCATCGCTACCTTCTGTAGGAGGTTTTGTAATTTCTTTTCCGTGTTTGCTATCAGTAATGTCTCATTTGCGTATCTTATGTTAAGAGTGTGGCCGCTAATGCTGAATCCAGGTAGGGTTTCCAGTTCTCCCAGAATTGCCTCCCTGTATAGATTGAAAATGATAAATATTGCATTGCATTAGTCTTAATAGAATTGTAATCGTTTTTAGAATGTTGTAAATATAAAATTATTCTTGTAAATAATCTAATAAATGAATAAATAGTACAGTGTAACCCGGATATAAGAGAGTTGTCGGGACCGGAGAAGTAGTCTCTTATATCCGGGTTTCTCTTATATCCGGGTTTCGTCTATTTTATATACATTAACACAGGCTCTAATTTGGGACCAGAGAAAATCTCTCTTATATCCGGGTTTCTCTGATATCCGGGTCTCTTATATCCGGGTTACACTGTATTTAATATTTTTGTTGTAAATTCCCCAAAATAAATAAATATATATATATATTAGTTAAAATGAAAGCGATGTCATTGGAAAAACTGTTCTTTTCTTGTCATTGGAAAAACTGTTCTTTTGACACTCCATTTTTGCGGGTCTGTGTTTGACGGAGGACGGTAGGTACGCTGAGATCCGAAGAGGTTTGGGATGGCAAGGGATGCATTTCAAAAGTTGGGCAGAGTCCTGCGAGACAGGAGGATTTCTTTGGTGACAAAGAAAAGAGTAGAGATGCTACGTGACATCTGTCCTCCTATACGACAGCGAATGTTGGACGGTCTCATCGAAGATGAAGAAGAGACTCGAGGCAGCGGAGGTATGGTTCTACAGAAGGATGATAAGGATATCATGGACCGATCGTGTTAGCAACGATGAGGTGTTGGAGAGGATGCAAACAAGGAAGAAGCTTATACTTAATATAAGGAAGAGGCAGATGAAATTTCTGGGACACGTGATGAGAAAGGAGAGTCTGGAGAACCTGATACTCACAGGTCGAATAGAGGGGGGAAAAAAGACACGGAAAGCAACGCGTGATATACCTGGCGGGCTTAAACAAGTGGATAGCAGAACGTGGTCTGGGTGAGTTGGGAGAGACAGGAAACTAATTGAGAGCGACAAGGGATAGGGTGAAGTGGAGAGTCATGATCGCCTATGTCCTGAAAGGACACGGCACATAAAAAAGAAGAAAAGAGTGTTTTGACATGTATTTTTTCCTTTCTATTGATGCTGGGCGGAAGTGGGGTAAAATGACGTCTGACATGAACGTTCATGCGGAACAAAAACCCCTAGAAAGGGGTTAGAACAGGCCTTTTTTCGCCATTGACCACTTTTAAAACAATGTTAAAACTTCATTGGGATGTCAGAAGAAACAAAATTGAATATTGTAAATTTCTTTCAACACCCTTTGTAATATGTCTTTTCTCCTCTTTCTCTTTATAGGCTTGCGACCGTATCACGTTGAAACACCGGTTCTCCTACGATCGTCGAAGTTAAGCAACGTTGGGCCTGGTCAGTACCTAGATGGGTGCGGTTGGGAATACCAGGTGCTGTAAGCTTGAATGTACCTTAGTTTAATGAATAACAGCTCGGAATTGGGAATAAGAGAGCTAGTCTGCAATTCCAATCGGGTTCGTTATATTTATTTACGCTCAAATAATCTTGGGAAAGGGATGAATCCAGCTATGGGTTAACTTGTAGAAATTGTATCATTAAATCATGATCATCTCCAAAAAATTCTTACAATCTAAAAATATTTTCCGGATTTATATAAACCGCAAGATTTATATAAGCCGTCAAAAGAAATTAATCATTCAAACTTTCTTTATATTCTTCGACTTCTTTTTCTATTCACTTCCTTTCACTTTTTCTTCTTTCTTCTTTCTGCTCTTGTTCTTGTGCCTTTCTTTCTCCGCATTCCTCCTATTATCTTGTTTTTCTGCCTTCTCAGTTTGCCTTGCCTGTCTTTCTTTTTTTTTTTTTTCTTTTTTTTTCTTTTTTTTTTTTTTTTTTTTCTTATTTTTTTACGCTTTCTATTCCTCCTATTAGTTGTTCTTTGGCCACTTTTAACAAATAGTTTTTTTAAAAAAAAAAAAAAAACGTTGCCTACATCTGTTAGCAAAATGACCAACAACGTACAGGCTTGCAAACCAATGGCTTACAAGATTAATACATGAACTATTACAATTTCTCGCAATAACTTCTCTCCCTAAAATGTCCCAGTCTATATCTCCCCTTCCACCTCCCCTTAGTTTCCCCAACTTATTTCATTCTCTCTCCTCTCTTCCCTACTTCTATCTGTCTCTCTCACTTTCTCTCTCTTTTGTTCTAGTTCTGTTTTTTTCTCTCTCTTTTCTTCTCTCCCAAATGAAGAAAACCAAAATGCATAATCTCTCTCTCACTCTCTATTCTTTCCCTCTCTCTCTCTCTCTCTCTCTCTCTCTCTCTATCTATCTATCTATCTCCTCGTGTGCGTGCACATCCAAACATTCCTTTGTTCTATTACTCTATCTTTTCCTCACTTTTGCCCCTCTCTTTTCTTCTCCCTAAAATTTAGTAACCAAAATACCTAATCTCTCACTTCTGTTTCTCTCTCCGCCCCTCTCTCTCTCTCTCTCTCTCTCTCTCTCTCTCTTTCTCTCTCCCTCTCTCTCTCTCTGTCACTCATGCGCGTACATATTCACGCTCTCTTTTTTTCTGTTTCTCTTTTCTTCCCGCTATCTTTCTCCCTCTTTCTTTCCTTCTCAAATGCAGGGAAAAAAAATGGCTGACCACTCTCCCTCACTCTTTCTCCTCTCCTTATGTCACTCCCTCTTTCCTTTTCTCATATTCATACTCTCTTTTCTTCTACTCTTGTCTCCTCTCTCTCTCTCTCTCTCTCTCTCTCTCTCTCTCTCTTGTTTTCCTTCTCCCTCGAAGGCAGAAGTCAAAATGCCTAATCAGTTGAGAATATGAAAGGAAAAAAGCATTAAAAAAATCACATGAAAGCATAAAATAAAATTAAAAAAAAAAAAAAAACAAAGAGAAAAAAGAACGCCCCCCCACCTTCCTCCTCCGGCAAGAAAAAGCAGACAAACAAAAAAGCACTCTCATAGATCTATTTTGTGAAACTGAATATTATTACATTTTTGTTTCAAACATCTGTGCTGGCTAATTTTTGTCTTCTGTCCAACGATAAATCAAATCTTGACACAAACTAACAAGAAACAAAAAGCGGGTGGAGGTTGATAGGCAGGGTGGGAGAAAGAAAGTGTGAAGTGGGAGGCGATAAGGACGGGATGGGAAAGACTTGGGGTGCCAGAGAAGAAGACGTGACGGAAGAGAGAAGGGGGTGATGGCAGCCGGGTGCTTGCAAGCTGTGAATATATTGAAGTCAAAATCCCCCAGTATTGGAATTATGTAGTGAGACTATGTAGCAGCTGTTAGAGGTGTAGATGCACAAGAATGGTTTGGAAAGAAGGGAAGTAAAGGAAGAGAGGAACGGAGGAAGGAACGAAAATGAGAGAAAGAAACAAAGAGGAAAAATACGTAAGCAAAAGAGAGAGAGAGTGAGAGAAGGAAAAAAACGTGATCAAAAAAAAGAGAAGAAAAGAAAGGAATAAGACGGAAAATATGAGAAAGAGAGAGAAAAGAACTAGAGAGAGAGAGAAAAGTGAAGAGAAAGGCGAATAAGAAGGTTGGGAAAGAAAATAGAAAGAAGAAGAGGGAAGAAAAGAAAAATTAAAAAAATGCAAGAAAAAAGAACAAACGAAAAAGGGAGAAAAACACTGAACGAGAAAGAAAGGCAGGGGAGGTGAGAAGAGAACACAATGTAAAGAAAGAGAGAGGAAGGCGGAAAAAGAAAGACAATAAAGAGATGGAGAACGAGGAAGAAAGGAAGAAAGGAAGTAATGATGTGAAAAGGAGGAAGAAAAATATAAAAGGAGAGACAAAAAATGCGTAAAAAAATGGAAGATAAAAAAGAAAGAAAGAAAGAAAGAGAGAATGGAATCAGCCAACACGGGAAAAAAAGGAAAATAGAAAAAGGAAAATCAAAGAAAGAAAAGTAGAAAGGGAAGATGGGAATAAACCAAAGAAAATGAAAAAGTATGAAAGGTAAAGGAAGCTGAGAAAGATCAAATAAAGAAAGAATAGAGAAAACAACGAATACAAAAACAAAAAGAAAGATAAAAGGGAAGATAGCGTACGTTAAAGAAGGTGAAAAAGGAGGTGAACCTTACAAAGAAAGAAAGAACAAAAAAAGAAAGAAAAGGTAAAAAATAAAAGAAAGACAAAAAGAAAGACAGAATAGATTAAAGAAAGAAAGAAAGAAAGAATAGAGAAACCTAAAAAATAAAAGACAAAAAGGAAGATAGACTAGAGATCAAAGAAAGAAATAAACGAAAGAAAGAATGAGAATTAACCAGTGTCTTTAAGAGAATAAATAAAAGGCTTTAATACAAATCGAAAGAAAAGGTGAAGAAAAAGAAACAAAGATGACAGTGTCTGAATAATCATAAAAGAAAAAGGAAGGCGTAGGGAGAGAAGAGAGAAGGAGAAAATTTGAAGTTGCAACTCAGAATAGCGTAAATGAAGAAAGCAGGAGGCTGGCACTTGTTCACCCTCAGTGGTGCCGGGTCTGAAAGACGGGATAAAGCAGGGGTAGGGGAGCGGGGAAATGGAGCTGTGAATCCAAATTTATTATCAGTCACAGCTAGCGAACTATTTTGCTATAAACTGATTCTACTGTTGTCGTTGTTGATGTTATGTGTAGACAACAGTAACATGTCCATCTGTCTTGGGGACAATATGTTGCCAAATTGGCGGTAAAGGTTAGGGTAAGGAGAGGGTACCGTCGTAACTGCAAATATGAAGAATATATTTATTTCTGGAACTATGTAGAGATTGTGTGTAAAAAAAAAACAGAAAATGTTAGAAAGAGTGAAGGAAAAAGATGAATTCTATTGCTTTAAACCAGCAGTTTACCAGGATTTTTCTTGCTCGGCGAGCAGTATGTTGGCGTACCTTCTACGTAAATTCAAATATGTATTTATAAAAGAAAAGAAAACACGATTTAAACAGCCTTGCTTATTTAACAACAAAAATACTATGGCGCATTGTTTGTAACTATTTTTTTTTATTCCGTAAATTAAACTACATTCTCTTGGTGTCTATATAAAGATGGTGCCAGGCCACCGCGAGCTGGTGTAATGGTTAGAAAGCGTGTCTTGCTAGATCAATTACGCCTGAGTAGAGAGTTCGATCCTCACTGGGTATCCCGTACTTTCGGACTTGTGCCACATCTAATCCGGTCAAAGAAAATCACTATATAAAGATGGTGCCAGTTTAATGATACCTAAGGTATAAAATGAATTTTTAAAAACGGAAAAATCTTCCTTGAGGCTTTTATTTTAGTTTTAATTTCAAGCTAATAGATTAAATTTAATAATTTAAGATTAATTTTTAAATTGATTGGAATTATTACTTTTTTTTATTTATTTTTTTAGAAATGACTAAAATGGCTGATTTTTTTTAGCCATGTTTAGAAATCTCTCAGCACAACGTAATTCTCTTTTATTAAAAATCTTTCAAAAATAAAATTTGAAACTTTATTTGAGGAATATTAGCTGATTTAAAGTTTAATTAATCAGATTTTTTTTTTTAAATTACTGACTTTTAATTTAAAATATAACAATAACATTAGACTCAAGGGACAATCTTAAAAATTTAGGAAAATATTGTAAATAATCTAATGTTTTGATGAACAGGTATTTTGGCTTTACTAACATTTTATATACAGTGTAACCCGGATATAAGAGAGTTGTCGGGACCGGAGAAGAAGTCTTTTATATCCGGGTTTCTCTTATATCCGGGTTTGGTCTATTTTGTTTAGGTAAGTATGGGAACACTTTTTTTTTTGAAAAATCTCTCTCTTATATCCGGGTTTCTCTTATATCCGGGTCTCTTATATCCGGGTTACACTGTATTTACGACTCTTATTTTCTGATAATGTGTTCTATATACATACACACACACACACACACACACACACACACACACATATATATATATATATATATATATATATTTCTAAAGAATTAATAGATTTTATTTTTTAATCAGAGATATTTTTTATTACTTCAAGCGTTATTTCTAGTGGAGAGCCATAATTGGGCAAAGGCTCGATTTCTTAAAGAGTGTTTATTTCGCCGACTGGTCTGCATACAGGAGAAAACTTAATAAAGGAAATACCAAACAAAGTTCTGTTTGGTTTGAAGCACATTCACTTGTTCAGATTTTCCCGAAAACCATATCTGCTCAGTTTCGTATCCGAGTAGTAAACAAAAATATGTCGATTTGCTTGGGTGAATTGGCATTTCAGGAATTGATTGATGACAACCTGTTGTATCGTCTAGTCTTCTAAAGATACAAATTCAAAGGCTGTTGAATTTACTCAAACAAACAGTAATCGGTTGAAAATTCTCTTTTTATCCGGCGTCATTCCCTTTCTATATATCCTCAATTTTTTTTAAAATCTTCTTTTAGATGTTATTTTTGGCGCCTATTTCCTGCTACTTGTTGATCTTTTTGTGGCATGTTTATAGTCCTCTAAGATCTTTATACGTTAGCCATTTTAATTATTAGATTTTGAATACTGCTAGAATTGAACATTCACGATTTTATACTCTAAAATGATTTTGCAAATATATCCTTAAAAACTGGGGATCTAATCTACATACAGAAAACGGATGGATAGATAGATAACAACAAAAACAAATCTTGTATTTCGCCAAAATCCAGGATGTTTCTGGAAGATAACGCTTTTAAGACAAACAGACTTTGTAATTACAATGGTCGATATCAAGAGATAAAGCGCTATAAATAAAATTAAATTAAATTTGTTCATTTATGTTGTGCTTAGTCTGAGATTCGAGTAAAGCCAGAAAATATTTTTGGATGGTAAGATTTTTTTAAAGATAATAATGATTTAGTGATACAAGTTTTACTAATGGATGGGGAAGAGGTGGATTCATGCCTTTCCTAGAAAGAAAAAAAAAGAGGAGAAATTTCAGACATTAAACGAGATTAAGCATTAAGGAGAATGTAAGATGGCAATCCTAGAAGGGGACATTTTAGACTGTTTTGAAAAGTGAAAATGTGTTTGGTGTTTGATCATCCTGGGTGTTCCATTTTTGGAGATCTTGTATTAGACCAATTTTAGTTACGTTTAATCTTAAGTTGCGCGTAAGGGAATATAACAAACCCAACGAGAATTGGAACACGGCTCTCCGATGGACAATTCCGATCTATTATCCATTACACCACCCGCACGTCCAAGCTTACAGCACTTGGTATTCCAAAGCGGTCACCTCTCTATGTACTGACCAGGCTCGACGTTGCTTAAATTCGGTAATTGTGTGCGTGTGTGCATGCGTGCGTGCGTGTGTACGTGTGTGTGTGTGTGCGCGCGTGTGTGTATAAATATATAAAAATAAGTGATATCCTAATATAATAGGTGACTGAAGAACAAGAGATGTTTGCTTGGACTAAATTACAGAGTATCGTATCGTCATGGTCGTTATCAAAACACATCTCAATTCAAGACTTGTTTTCGGAAGAAACCCTGGTTGTTGACGTTGCACAGCGAAATAAGCAAAGAAAGAAACTAAATAGTTACATTGTTGGCCTATATATATATATATATATATATATATATATATATATATATGAGACATGTTAGATACGGAGAGATTTTATTAAGAAGAACGATCAAAATGTTTCTTTTTGGGGAAAGTTAAATTGAAATCATTGAACTTGTCTCACCAATTTTACTTTTCACAATTTTTTTTTTCAGTAGGAGTTGATATGTTCGCTAACCAGTTTTTTGAACAGGAGTAGAGGTTTATCCCTTGATTCCAGTTCCCTAATCTTTGTGACAAAATCTAAATCTATTAAGGGTGTTTCTGTAATTCTACCTAAACACAGCGTTACGTTTGCCGCATCCTTTATATCAAGCTCTGGCGCTTACTCTTTAACCTTTTGCTTTGCGTGGCCCTCGGGATATGCGATTCTCCAGTTAAAAACATTGTTTTATATATATATATATATATATATATATATATATATATATATATATATATATATATACTTGTTATGGTTTTGCTAGTCTGAAGTAGACTAAAATCACCTCATGTAGGTATAGTCTACTTCAAGACTAATTCAACAAATACAAGGTTTAAACTCTCAATAAAGACTGACTGTCTCGGAATAGGAGTTTTGAATTTAGTTTAGATAGCAGTCGGTCAGAACGTGCAAAAAAATTTAAAAAGACGTTTGGCGAGAAATAGATGGGAGTTTATTTATGACCAAAGAAAAAATTTTTATGTAAATGAATTATATATATATATATATATATATATATATATATATAAGAAATAATTTAAAATCTAAATGAAATAATAATAAAAAAACAAGAATATTAATTTACAAAAATGTGTGTCTGAAGATTTTAATTTTTAATATTTTTTTATTGTTTAAATATATATATATATATATATATATATATATATATATATATATATATATATATAACGTCTGTCCTGAAATTATCCATTCATTTTATCTACCTCGTAATCGGTTACATGGCCTTGATGCAGCTTTCACACTGACCTCTCGTGTTTTTTTTGTTTGTTTTTTTTGAGGTGTGGGTACATCACTTCGCTCAGATCGGTCAACCTTCCCCTACAGACCTGATATGCCTCCATGCAACGTGTGATATTTCCCGGTGTTCAAATTAAAAAGAGGAGAGATTTCGGGCATTAAACGAGATTAAGCATTAAGGAGAATATAATGAGGCAGCTGATGGCAATCCTGGAAGGGGTCATTTCAGACCGGAAAAGTGTTTGGTGTTTGATCATCCTGGGTATTCAGACCCATTTTAGTTACGTTTCATTCATTATTTACGTCTAGAGCGTGTAAGAATATTTGAGATTTTGTGTGCGGCTTTTTATTTCTTTGGAGTGTGTGTGTGACCGCGCACGTGTGTGTGTGGGGGGGAGAGAGAGAGAGAGAGAGAGAGTTTCGGTGTATTTCTGCGCGTATGGCTGACAAAAGATGAGTGAAGGAGAAAAAAAAAGAAAATGTTGCAGGAAAAGGAAGGGCGTATAATTTAGGAACAGAGAAAAAAAGGAATAAGAAGAGAAAAGGGTGACGAGAAGATAACGTGTGGAAAATAAAGAGAAAGAGGAGAGAAGAGGAGAAGAGAATGGAAAAGTGAGTAAAAACTAAGAAGAAGCAAGGAAAATAGATACGGAATGTGAGAAATAAAAGAAAAGGACGAAGTGAAAATTTTATGTACAGTTTAAAAATAAAAGAGAAATAGAAGGCCCAGAAAAAAATGAATTGGAAAAGAAAAAAATAAACAAAAAAAAGAAATTGAAAAATTCAAAAAAAAGAAAGACGAAATTTTCAATCGGATGTTATGAAATCGCTTCAAAGAAAAAGAAATATGAAAAGCTCTCAGAGAATAAAGAAAGAACGGACATTTTTTAGCCCAAAGAAAGAAAAAATTTTTAAGAAAAAAAAAGAAAAAAAGACATATAAAAGAAAGAAAATCGATCCTTTCATTTCAAGAAAGAAAGAAAGAAAAGAAAGAAAGAAAGAAAGAAAGAAAGAAGGTTAAAAAAAAAAAGAAAAAGAAAAGAAAGAAATAAACCCTTTATAATCGAAAAATGTTTTGGCGTTTCTTTGTCTTTTAACTTTAATGTGAACTTGTAAGAATTAAAACAAAACAGTGTTCCAAATTTAACAAAAAGGCTAATGAAGAAGTGGGCAAAATGTTATTGCGATTAATGCTGGTTGTTAATGAAAAACAGTTGTGGATCTAAACAAAGGCAGTGTCCACTGGTACTTATTGACAGTGGAGGACGCAGAACTGTGCTAACAGAAATCGCTTGGCCAGGCCTCTCCGACGGAACATACAAGTCTACACCCACACACACAAACACGCATGCGCAGACATTACAATGATCTATACACATACTAAGACAGATCGTACTCGCTTTGAGTATATACACAGATATGTGATACTTATGCACAGATCTTCTCATAGAATCACACCTGTGCTGATATTTGTAAACACGTAGGTATTCAGGCACAAGGGATTACAGGTATATATTAGCAAACAGGTAGTTGTTTCAAGGATGTAACTCCGAAAAGCATCCATACTCGTTTAATGAAGAAAATAAGGTAAATTTTATTAATTAAAGTATTTAAAGTATCGTTGCTATAAGTGACCGTATCTGGTAAATTGCTCGAAATCAATTCCTCGAAAAATAATTTCTCGAACTATCAATTGCTCGAAAGGCAGTTTGCTCGAAACCTGTGGTTAAAAAAAAAATAAAACTACATTGTTCTATTATTTACTATAAGATAAAATTGTGGAATCTTCCACAGCAGCCAGTTAACCCCTGCTAGAAAATGCACTATTCCTGTTGTAATTTTCACCATCACAGTCTTACAAAATATATAACAAGCATTCATTTGTTAATCACCTTCAATCTAGCTTGCTGATTGGTCAGTTCCGACCAATCAAACCGCCTGCACGCGACAAATTTGTTTTCCCGCTCAATATCCATTTGAGCCTCCCACATGATACAACCTTATATAAACAGAACAAAAAGCTCCCCGGTGTTTTCTTTTCTTTTAAACTCTCTCATCCTTGCTACCAAGATGTAATCTTCAAGAACTCCCGTCTTAACTAATGCAGTCAGACGTTAAAGACCATTATAAATATTCACGCAAGTACGAACTCTGAAATCTCTTCTGAAATTTTACCAACTTGTACAATACAAAATTCCAAACATGCTAAAGAAACTTTATTTTTCTAAACTACCGTTTAATAATTACTGTCACTTTATGAACTTAGGTACAAGTATTACCTAATCTAAGAGACACAACTCTATCTAACCTTTTCACTGAGTATTCATGCATGTATATCAAATATCAATAAATTCAATTGTTACGTTTTGAAACAATATGTTTATGAATCTTTATTCTCTATCTTGTATTAATTGTTGTGGATGGAAGATTATTGGACACACACAATTTTAAGCCTTCTGATAATTCAAACTTTCTATTCCTCTCCAACACATATCACACATCCGCAACAAAATAATACATCTTTAGATATGCTACAGTTAAAATTTCTTTCAGCAGATTTATATGAATGTTTTTTTTTTTTTAAGAAATTTTTTTGCTTGTAAACCTGTATTTTTGTTTTTTGAACAATTCAAACCATAAAACAGATGACGTTATTGGGTTTGTCCTTAAAATAAAATAAATGGAATTAACAATTTGAGTTTTTTTGCTCAAAACAAATTCCATCACGATTAAATCATGTCCTCCAAAATTACTGAAATAGAAATACACAAAATATATTAAAAAAATCAGGACATTTTTAGTTTTGAGTGCACGGTTTGTTTTTTATCCAGCTCCGTTGATTCTTTCAAATAATCTTTTACGTGGTGCTTCATTATTTTTACTTGAGGAATCTGCCTTTTCGCTGATTATTTTAAGTTCGAAAATTGCAAAAGCAATTGATTTTGAGAATTTTACTGTCGACCAATTGATTTCGAAAGACAAGAGATGAAAACGTCCAAAATTGATTAAAATATTTGAATTTAAATTAAAATTTGGATGCTTATTTTCAGAAACTTGATTAGACTCAGCATCAAATATAGCAAAAATTTTATTTTAATTTAGAACAAATCCTACCAGAAAAATGCTGAAACCGAAGAAATACCAATGACGATGGACAATTCTCGGGTTTATCTCCAAAAAAAAAAGTTTGATTTTATCATTTCAAATGACCATTTTAAATCTAAAACGAACGAACGGAAAAGATATAAAGAATTTCAAGTCCTGTCAAATTCGATTCGAATTTTCTAAAATTTTCATTTTCTTAAAAAAAGTAAACAAAGAAAAAAAAAGCCAACACTGGAGCCAGTTCGATCAATATCATCAATGTTTCGGACATATATAAGAAAATAAAATAGAAGGTTTCATGTAAACCCTTAATTTTCTGTAATATTAAAAGATTATTTTTCTATTTAAAAGAAATATTGGTTTTCAAACGTTTTACTGTTTTTCCCTTGTCTGTTCTGAAAAATTTATAAACACCTGAACTTAATTTTTAAACCTTCAGCACTAATATTTTTATTAAAGTTTTATCTTTTGTTTCTCCATTGACTAAATAGTTTTAGTTCTATATTTCAGAAAATTCAACGAAGACAGTGTGTTCGAATTTTCAAAACAAACGCTTGCATTTAATTAATGTCATTTTCTCCAAATAACAAATGGGAAAAAATTGACTTTGAAGATTCCATCGTTTGACATACGAAACTGTCTATCGCATTAATTTTGAAAAAAACCATTTTTGATGCTAAAACCTCCCTTGCACAAACAAATCCTTCATATATATATATATATTTATTCCTAATCAATAAAAATAGACAATTCCTGGTCTTACCCACATTAATTTTTTTTTTTTTCTACCTTTGGGAAAATTGTATATCCAATGCACCTTTTTTTTTTTTATTTTTTTTTTGTTTCGTTTTTTGTTTGATTAACTTTGTTTTTTTGAATGAAAAAATCTTTTTTTTTTTTTGAACAAGTAAAAAACATTCCTTGACTCCTGTTTAAAATTGGGTTTCAAATTCCATCTCGTCAACACTTCTCATTCTTAAACATGAAAATAACTCCTAAAACCTCTTATTAATTAATAAAACTTAGGGTGAAATAATTTTTAAAAAAAATAAACTCAGAAATTCCACAAATATTCTTGAATGTAACAATTTCATAACAGTGGACATTATTTCCATTTTGTAAACATTTTGCTATTTTGCAATCTCATCAGGGCACGGATCGGATTGAGGTCACGGAGAGTCGACACGATTTTCACTTTCGTCTGGTATAATACCCTTAGGAAAGGTATGAATCCTTTTTTTCTTTCTCCCAACTAACATAAATATATGACAGACCTATTCTATATATATATATATATATATATATATATATATATATATATATATATATAAAAAAAATCTGCCTCGTCATTCATGTATTTCAAAGCTTGTTTCAAATATGGTAAAAATAACTGACTTTCATCGACCTAACTTCTTTTATTTTTAAATTAAATCTTTCCTTTTCTTACAGAATAATCCATAGACAAAAGAAAGAAAACACTGATTCTTCTAATTTCATTTGATTGAGCAACGTTTTCTAGTCAATAAAGATGAGGGAATACTTGCCATAAAATATGGAAGTTTGGTGTAATTGATAATTTAACTTGTTAATCCTAACCCTTTCAATCCCCATTAGGTCCATTATATTCATTTACGAGTGAATAACCTTGGGGAAAAAGGAATTCACCATCCCGGATGAATATATGGAATAATTAAAAACTTGTATTTCTAAAACGATATTATCTTCCTCAAAGACATTCTTACAATCTAAAAAGAAATTTCTGTCTTTAAATAACATACAAATGGTTTATAAGCCATGGAAAGCGAATCAATCAATCTTTTTCTTATTGTTATTGTGAAATTCACGCTTAAAAGTACCTGTCTTAGCAAATAAGGAACTCCATCAAAACTGACATCTAAAACTTATTCAATTATAAAACAGAATTTTGTTAAAAATATCTTGCACGTACATTTTGATTCTATATTGAATGCATGGGCAGATACTATTGGAAAATTTCGGATGAACTGATAACAATAAATAGGGTTTAAAATATGTCAAATATCTCTAAGCAAATGTCCTCAAGTTTGAATTAATTTTTCTTTCTAATAAATTGGATTTGCCTCCAATTAACCAAATTTAACTCATAGTTGAAGGGGAAAATGATTTTTCCTGTTTAAAAAGGTAGCGCGTTGTGAACGTAACAGACAAATACCAAACTTTTTAATTCGTCTCAGTCAAAGTTTCAGATTTCTCCGTTGGAAATCGTTACGTTAACATACTTTTATCCAATTTCTATATATAGATTTTTGGGGATGTAAAATGAACAAATCCTGCCAGAGAGCGGAAATTTTACTTCAGTAAGATTTCTCGAACATTCAAGCCGGTAGGCGAAAATAAATAAATTTACTGTTTGATAAATAAACGGAGCGTCTACTCAAATACGAATATCCAGTAAAAATAACGTTTAAAATGATAAAAATATGTCGAATTAATAAAAAATGCCATTCTAAAATTTTCTTCACGTAAGTGGACATTCAGCTCAACACCTAGCGTGATCTTCAGGCCATGTCTGTCGTCACTTTAATATTATATTTTATATTTACACCTCCTCTACTCCTGATATTGAACACTTTTATGCATAAATATCAAAAACCTTAAAACTACATTTTAAATCTGAACTATTACTATGAAATATTTTTTAAAAATTTCACCCAAAGAGGCATTTCACCCCAAGTGGAAAATGTCAATTTTAAACATGCAAGGGGTACATATTGAAAGATAGACTTCTTTGGTGTTTGAGGAAAGGATAAAAATAACAGGGGAACAAGATCGACTCATCAGAAGATATCGAATTGACATTTTTTTTAAATTTTGA